ATGTCAATATAACTTCACTGGGGCCTTGTTTAATCTTGTTGTCTTTGATAAATTATAATAAAAATTTACAAAGAAACTTAAAATGATGTGTCACTTTTGAATTGGATATTTTTTAAATAGAAATTTTAATTCAAAGCTCTGGTTATTCGTTTCATTTAACGTATGTTTACTCAATCCCTTTTTTACAAAGCTACAATGGAAATGAGTCAATTTTTTAAAATATTTTAAAAATTTCTCTCGAAATTATAAAAAATAAATTAATGTATATAAATTTTTTATGGTAACAAAGATTTTTTGATTTCTCGTATATTACAAGAAATTTTAATTTTTTTATGGCCATTTTGTAAAAAATAGTTTTTCGTGGAAATGTTCATGCGCACACACACGTAATCGGATTTCGAGACAAATGCTCTTTTGTACTTATCTCGTGACTCGCGAAGCTCACAAGCCTCAATTGCAACTGTTTCCTTTTTGCAAGGCAAAAGGGAGATAATACCTATTATACGTGTATGTGTACGCGTACGGAAGTTATGACGGCTTTTATAATTATATGTGACTCATCGCGTCGTCACTTTTAATTTCCGTCCTGTGCTGCGTAAATATACTACGAACTTTTTGTTTTTCAATGATTTTTCAAGTGCAGCGATTCGGGATTTTATAATTGAAACAATCGTACTTTGAGATGTTGGCAGTGACTGACTTAAAAATAAAAAAAATAAAAATAACGATGCGTTAATACATGCAGACAAGTTCGTTCTGTTGAAAAATACAAACTTTATTTGATCGAAACCTAAAAAAAAACTTGCATAAACATTAGTTTTAAAGGAACAGAGAAAAAGAAAAAGAAAAGTAGTACGTGTTGATACTTTGTGCTCTTGAAAAAAATTTCCATCCATCAACATTTGCACTTGGTTTTTTACATTCATGGCTCGATAATTGATGGGCTGCAATTTGCCGAGGTTAAGTGAAAAAAAATCCTACTAAGCTTCAAAAATAAGTTGGAATTAATTTACGCGAATTCAAAATATCGTTTTTGAGAGATTTCAAAAAATATTATACATAATTTTAGATATCCACTATTCGACAACGTGATGATGAATACGCCAAATACTAATAGAGTTTCTTACAAACAATACAAACATTAATTAAAAGTGCAAAAATCAAAAGTTTTTACACTACGACTTATTTCATATTTTTATGCAAAATCGCCAATCACTTTAATTTTATTGTTTTGTACTCATTAAATTACTTTTTATAAAGGTGATAAAATCAAACTTTTCAATGTAAAAAAAGTTCAACGCTTCTCATCAAGATCAAAATTATTTGAAAATCTTAGTACTGATTAAAAAATGTGTTTACAGTGATGTATAAAGAATACTGAAATAACTTTTTCCATGAAACTCAATGCAAATGAAATTTAAAAAAAAGGAACTTATCAATGTTATGTTGATAAACTCGTATTATTTTATATGGCCAGTAACCCCATTGAATTGAAGATAATTGATGATGTTAATTAATCACAGGAAACATGCAAACAAAAGGAAAGTAATCAAACATTTTCCATGTTGTTTTTCGACTTGATATAGATTACATTGTTAAAAACAAGGACAGTATAGAGATAAAAAATTAAAGTATAAATCAAAACATAATAAATATAACAAGTGTAACACATGATTATTTTGATAAACGAAAATAAACAAATGTAATAAACAAATGTACAAAAAAATATATGTGGAGAAGAAAGAAAATGAAGTAAAATAATCTCACGAAGGTTGTAGTAATTGATTTATGGCAATGTCAACATGCTCTGTATCAAATAACTATTTTTAATAAGCACATCATGTACGTTCGGTGGTTTTTTGCCTTCATAATAAGAGACACATCAGTTCTTGATTCCTTTTGAATATTAAAATATTTATCACGAGAAAGAATATTAATCGTTAATTTTTTACAATTCATCGCATCCAATTGTTGATAAACATGTCCAGAGTACCGTCTAAGGAAAAAAAAAAAAATTCTATCAAAATCTTATTTGATTGAAAAAAGAACCGATAAACTAATTTAGGAAATAGTATCAATATTTATAATTTATAAAATGTAATGATCAGATGAAGTTGTGGATGCTGAGCCTCGTCGTACTGGCGGGATGCGTTGCCCTCGCCGCTGCTCACTCTTACCATCTCGGCGCTTGTCCTGTTGTAGAGCCAACATCTGGTTTCCAGATGAACAGGGTAATTAGTTTTCTTTTTACGAATATGATGTTAATATTTGATTTGACTTAACATTTTTATTTTTATCGATTGTTTT